CCGGAAGAGTCTATCCTTAATAACAAAGTCCTGTAAAAAGTTGCTGGATGTCCATCCAGTAGCCTTGTTTGTCATTGTGCAAGGTTTGGATGGGTTTAATGGACCTGAGTTGAAGGCATAAAATTAAAAAAATATCTAGAAAAAGAAGATATCTAGAAAAAGATATCTAGGAAAAGAAGGGAGCCCAAGGCAAATGTGGGTTCAAGGAAATGAGCTTGAACTGTGAGAAAGTGGGAAAGATGTGGCCAGGTTCCTTGCAGCCCTTTCGCCACTCTTCTCAGCACCTGTGAGATGGATGGGTATTTCTCACTTCATTTTCACCACCAGTGATGCTGGCTGGAGAGGGGATGGCTTGTCCTGAAAGCAGGTGTTGTGCCAGAGGAGATTCAACCTGGTGCTGGGCAGGTTTTTGTGAGGTTGTGAGACATTTTGGGGGAGAAAAAACAGCTGTATGCTGGCATTGACCTCCTGTTATTTGTTCTTGACATGGGTTGGAGGATGAATAGTGACTTTGATTTTTTTTTTTTGGTGTGTCTTTTAAAGTTCAAAATTTAGCCTTTGAGAAATAAACTTGCCAAAGCAGCACGTGGAGATTTCTGCTTGGTTCCTGTATTATGAACAGGAAACTTCCAACATCCCAGTTGTCTCAGTTCCTTTGAAAATTCAGCTCATGGAGGTGTTGACCAAAATGTCAGAGGGGTTGTTTTTAAATAGAAGTAGTAACAGTTGGGGGAAGACTGACTCGCTGGATGGAAGTCTCTTTTTTGAGCCCAAGGAAAAAATAAGTTAGTTTGAGTTGTACTCTACGGCATTCCCTCATTAGCTTACCCCATATTTTCATCAGTGAGATCAGGATTTGGACTGTGCACTTCCATGGTCATCAGTTACGTGATGGAGCTATTTTCTATAACAAAATTCACCAGCTTAGAGGTTCCCTTTGCTAAAATACATCCAGGATTGACATCCAGCATGACCAGCACCCCCAGCCCTAGATCGTGCCCATATGCCCAGGACTGGTAGTGCATCTGATGCGGTCAAGGGCATCTTCACATTATTGTATGAGTGTTCTTTGTCCTCTCCCAGAAATGCACTTTTTCTGTATTTACTCTGGCCAAATCTCATCTCCAAGTTAAGATGACTCACTTTACATCCCACCACTAGCAAAAATCTCCCCTCCTTTGCCTGCTTGATCACATTTCTCAGAGTGGCTTTGCCTTTGGGAGTCTGGGGTTGAACTGTGAGGCTGTTCTGAGGGCTGTAAACGAGGTATGTGTGTGTGTACGTGCAGATCTGTATCTACAATGTGTCCAAGAACCGGAACCCTCTTCTTTGCTTTTTTGCCTTTCCCTCATCCTTTTTCGCTTTTGCTTATCCAAGGAAGCCTGTTCGTTGCCAAAACATAAGAATACTTTTTTAACACTTTGTCTGATGTTTTTGCTTCACCTGAAAGAGCCAGAACTGCAAATACCAATATCCTCGTGAAAAAAAAAAAACAACCAGGCTTCTTGGGTTTGTTTCGTCCAGCTGTTTCCAAAAGGAAAAAATACATGTGTAAAAATGGATGAAACACAGTGTGGGGATTGCTGAATGACAGTAACAGAGGGGCAGAAGTGTCAGATTTTATACATGCTGATGTAGGCAGACTCTCAAAAATTTTCCAAGTGTTGTTTGAAACTGTTAGGACTCACTAAGCACTGACTTTTTGCTAGTGCGTATTTAGCTTTTTTCTTTCAAATGCCAGGTTTTTTTGGTACAAACACATGGGAAAATGTTGGCCTGAATAAGAAGGAAAAAAAGAAAGAAGAATGTTCCTTACTTATAAAATAAACTAAAATGTATCTCTACAAAAAGTTATGAATGCAGCTAATTAATTTTGCGGTGAAAATATCTTAAATAGCTCAAGTTAATTTCCTACAGGTGTCAATATGATTTCCGCTTAAACTGACAGCTAATTCCAAGTCAGACTTTGCATCTGAGAATATTTTTGTTTGTTTCTATAGCAAGAAACTCCTAAGAATGAAAGCTTGAAAGCTTTCATGCTGTGTATTGCTACATCGGGCAGCATTTTGTTTATCGATAATCTTGACTATTACCTATTATGTTTTAAATGATTTCTTTTTCCCATTTGTTTTGCTGGTCTTCAAGCATAAGAGCATCTAAAGCTGCAGATGTTCCCACAGCATTCAGGCAGGGGTCTGAAACTACTCTGAATTTGGGATCTGCTATGAATTTGGTGTTTTCTCACCAGCACTGCACGTGTCCCTAAGCCTCCAGGGCACCTGCAAGATTTCGTCTGACGTGCCGGTACTGAGAGCAGCAGAGCAAGGACTTAATGCCCTACAAGGTGTTTGGGTGTTTTTCCTCATTCTGCCTGCAGATATTCACCCTAGAGTACCAGCTGGTAAATAAGGCAGAATTGAGAGGTTTAAAGCAGAGAAATAGAGCAGGAGCCACAGCTTATTGACTGACCACCCTGAAGAAGAGGAAGGATTGTTGCACTTGAGACCCAGCCAGGAGGTCCTTGGTGGCCAGTGCGGTGGCTGGGGAAGGCACACAGACATCTGTTTTACTTCGAATGCAATACCCAAGACATCCCATGCCTGATTACTGCTCGTTGCCTGAGGTTGCATTTCTCCCTCAGTTCTGGCAATGGCTGGAGAACAGCCTTGCAAGGCAGAGTCCTGTGGACTGTCCTGCAGAAGCTCTGATGTTTCTTGCTTTGCTTTTCCTGGAGGTGGTGGAGCCCAGTTCAGCCACTCAGCCAGATATTTGGGAGGGTTTGTGGTGGGTTTTATACAAGCTGAGGAAACAGAACTGAAGTAAAGAACTAAATAGGAAGCTGTTAAAATACCGCTAAATTAAAGAGAAAATAACCACCGTATTATTTCCTATGTTTACATAAAGGATAACTTCTAATACATTCCCTTCTCACGTCTCCTCCCAAGCCCTTTGTTGTGGGAATGTACTTATTTCCATCTCTTCCTCCGCAAACTCCAGAGTAGGTGGTTTTCACTTGATCTTTTCAATCTTGATGTAATTTATTTCAGCATTTCACTCAGCCTGCTCATGTGCACACTAGACTCTAGCACTCATATTCCCAAATGCCCCAGCAACTGAAGACGGCCGCAGCTGTGGGATTTTTCATGCTTTATTTTTTTTTTTCCCTTTTACCCTCCAGTTTCCTTTTCTGGTGCCTTTCTCATTCCCCAGGGAGGTGGCAGTCAGTGTAGCACAGCACCAAAGCCAGTTCCCAGCATTTGAGGGAGATGACAAGCCCTTTTTGTGATGGTGTCTTCGGGGGATGAAATGTGCTAACGCAATGCAAATCGCCCTTATGAAACAGCCAAATGTCTTGGGACTCCGTCCTAAAAATATTCCACAAATATGGCTCTGATGCATTTCTTTCATTTCCTCTAGTTGGAGGCCAAATCATCTGAAAATATATCCGTTTTCTAGCTGTCCTGTGTTATGACACAGCTGGAGTTGGTTAAAATCTAGAGGGCAGTATCTGGCTTAAGCTGATGGGTCTTTGTGCAGCTTTGATTTATTATTCTAGAACAGCCTGTCCCCTCTTCCATCCTGTAGACGGTTTTCGTTTGTTTTAATGAGAAAACCAGAAAAAGACTGGAATAGCTTTGCTTTCATGCACTCCATGTATAATGCAAAGTAGAGGTCTAGGCATTGAGATCTCCAGATTTCTCCAAATCTAAGCAGTTTCCCCCGTTTATTGCTCTGCAGGCAGGAATGAATCGTAGAATAGAATCATAGAATGGATTGGGTTGGAAGGGACTTTTAAAAGTCATCTAGTCCAGCCCCACTGCAGTGAGTAAGGTGGGACATTTCAGGGAGCCTTTGGAGATACTTTGTCTTCCTGAGATTTGTAGGACCCAGAAAGACAGCTGATGAAGGTGATGACATGTGGTGAAGGTCTTTCTCTTAGACAAATCTATATTCTCACATTTTAACAAGGAAACCAGGTAGTTAGAAGAATTACATTTAAAGCCTGGTTACTTCTGATAATATAAGAATAATATAGGAAAATATAAGTATATAGGAATAATATAAGAAAAAAAATGAAATTAATTATCGTGGTATTCAGTTTTTCTTTTCAAGTGTGAACTTCTTGTGGCTTTCCACTTTGCACAAGACAAGTGCATCCCACAGACAGGAAAGGGTGTCGGGATCTTTTGTGGAAGATCCTTCCCATCAGTATCTGAATCGCACCACAGGTGGATCTTTTGGCTTTGAATCTTGTAACAAAGGTTTCTAGTTTGGACCTGATTTTCCTCTCCACGAGGGTGGTAATGTGAATCACAAGATAAAGGAAAGCCATGGTGGCAGGTTTTTTTTGTAAATGTGCGTGCTGAAATTGTGGTAGACGAGAGTTAAAAGATGATTTAATTTACCCTTAGTTGTTCTAAGCTGACATTGAAGAAAGAGCTGAGGAGAGGGAGATGTTAATGGAAGCTGTAATAATAAACTTTGCGCAAAGTGGAGGAAGCAAGTCTCTTTAGACTGTGGAGCTGATTCAAGTCAGAGATTACTTTCTAATTCCTGAATGCCTGCCCCTGGTGAAACGTCTGCTGGATGCTGGTTCCCTCTCCCGCAGCAGCTCCGGATGAACTAAAACAAGCTCCGGCTGCCTGGGGAGATGCGAGCGGGTATGTGACTGGTTGTACCTCAGCTTTATGGGGCAGGGAAGAGAAAAATCTCTGATTTTAAGCCATCCTGGCACCTGACTCAAAGTCCTCTGAGGTCAGCTGGGGTCCCTGGATCAGACTTTCGTAATAAGCAGCCGTTGTTTGCAGACAAAGCAAAAAAAAATCTGATTTTCTTTGGCTTTGAGGATTTGTTGTGCTTTTTTAAAGGAGGAAGAGAACCTCAAAGGACACTTCTCTGTTTTTGCCTGAAGACTGTACTCTTGGCTGCAGACCATCTCGCTTGTACTCCAGCCCTTAAGTGTGTTTTCACT